AGGCGTCTGCCTGCCTGCAGATTGCTGCCTCCTGCGCCAAGATAACACGATCTGACACTGCCGGAGCCTGAGCAACGCGAGCGCCGGAAAGCCGGGAGAGACGCTCCAAGATCGGGGATGAGGACGGCCGCGCTGCTGGGAACGGGTATTTGCCTGCTGCTTTCCTCCAGCTCCCGTGTGAGCCTGCTCGGAGTTTTCTCTCCCTCTGCAGCCTCCTTGGGGTTTGCCTCATTCCCCCGGGCTTGGATGTGTGACAGCAGGTGGATATCCAGCAGTCTGGAAACGGCTGGGGGGCACTTTGATCTAAGCAGCTCTGTCAACAGGGTCAATGCAATAAAAATAATCAAATTTACTCAAATGGAAATGAGAGATGAAGAGAGATAGGCAGACAACAGGGCAAATCTGAGGAAATGAGCACCAGCAAATCACCTACACAACACCGAGAGCTCAGATACTTCTCAGAAGAGCCAAGCGCTCGAATTCATCACCAAGGCACAGCAGCATCATGCTCTCCGTCTGTTTTTTTTCTATAACATATACAAACTTGTTCCTCCTCCACCTGTAGGCACAAAGTAGGCATATTTTAAAGGGATGTCTGCACAGGGTTCTTGTAAATACACATATGACATTTCCCACCAGAGTCCAGAGGAGGAGGAAAGGAGCACGAAGCTCCTTTTCCACCCTAGACCATATCAGTAACAGAGCAGGTTGCTGCACCAGTGATCCAGTGCTGGTGGGCAGAGTCTGCACCGTTATTTTTCCCTTCTATCGTGGCCGGGAATGGCCATTCCCAATGCTCAGCGTGATGTTGTTTTCCTGGGAAGACAGCTCCATGGCAGAAAGGGGGATTTTAATAACAGAGCTGTCAGTCAGAAAGGAAAATGACTGCTGCCATAAAGGACCTCATTCTACCTTTTTTCTTGAGGGGCCCTATACTTTCTAGATAAATATACAATAGCTCTATCTATAGCAATTGCAGCCAGGAACAAAAAACAGCTTAGAGAAGTTATTTGAGGTGGCGGTGGGGAGAAGACCTGCAGCCAGAAACCCACCTTCAAGCTGCAAGGTCCCTTCTAAGCCTTGAACTGCAGAAAGGAGTCCAGAAGGTGACCTGATGCAGCCCTTCGGCGGGCAGCGTGCGGTTCGGAGCATGATGCTGTCACTTGCTTTGATGGCACGTATGGAAGGGAGGTGACACTCCGGAGCTGTGACCCTTCCTAACGCACGCCATCCCCTGCAGGGAGCGTGGCCGGATACCGAGAAGTGGTCCCGAATGTCCTCCGGCTCTCTCGGAAAACCCGGGAGCTCTCACAGCTCTGCAGTAACACCCGCCTTTCAAAGGGCAGCTGGGGACCAAAACCTGGCAGCCTATTCACAGCATTTCTCTGCAAGTCTTTGGGAGGGAGAGATTTGATGGACTGGAGAGTCAGAACCAAGCGATCTTCTGCAACATGCATTTTAGGGAGCTTCTAGGCTAACTTGAACTTAAAAAGAGAATCAAAGGAGAAAATGAACTCCAGTGAAGCATGTGTGCACAAATTCTGCAGGTAGATACCAGGCAGAGCTGAACACTGATTATCGTCAGCAATACCTGTCCCCCAGGCCCTCTCTCATATATATATATATATGTATATATATATTTATATATATGTTTGTAACTTTGCTCTCCCTGATTAAGAAATGAGTCATGGGGAGGTTTCTATTCCCGTGAGATTTTCCCCGGGCAGGGAGACTTGCCTGCTCCACCATGTGAGACTGGAGCAATGCACAGAGCCTGCGCTTAGTAACTGCATCTCAATTCCCAAAAACCCTCCCGATTCTGCGTTTGGCACTTGGCATGCAGAGAAGTCACAGCACTTGGTGGTTAGCAGTACAGCAGGTCCCAACCACTGGATACGTCTGCCTTCGCTCAGCAAAAAAGCCTTTCTGGGGACAGATTCACCACGAGGTGCAGTAAGAGCAACACTTTGCGCTTTCCCTTGCAGTAATTATTCTTCATTTGCTGACCTGCTGGTTTTTAGGATTGTCATTAACAATCAGCAGAGTGCTAAATTACAGCTGAGGAGTTATTCACACCGTCTCCAAGCTCGCTCTCTCCAGATCTCATCCCTGCTCCACCTC